AAAAAAAAGATTCCAAAGGAATTCTCCCAGAACTGAGAGGTAATGAATGAAAACTTGAGACACAAAGACAATAGATACTGGACACACACACACACTCAATCAATCAAAATGAGAGAAAAAGCAGAAGAGAAATAATAAAGACATAATAGATAATGTCTCTGAGCCATAGAAAGACCGAACCTTTAGATTGAAAGGACCAACAAAATTAAGTCAAAGGTTACATCCAGAAAATTTAAAAATAATTCTTTATAGGGAAGGTAATGTATTAAACAATAATCTGGATCTAAAAATCTAGATTATTTTGACTAATAATAGAAGGAGAAATAAACATCTTGCTTGAGGGGCAATTAACGGATCAGACCCACCAAAGAAAGGGGTTAATTAAGTAAATAATGACTATATCCATATAATAGAATGTTATACAGCAGTTTAAAAGAATGAGGTAGATCTATCTATATTTAAAAGGAAAGATTACTAAGATTTATTCTTAAAAGAAAAGAGCAAGTTGCAAAGCAATATGTACAGCATGACTTATTCATATAAGAAAAATATCATAGAACCCACACTCATTAAAAAGCTGTATTTTCATATGTGCATATATGCATGTATGTGGGTACATTCATTTATTACTCATATAATTTAAGATTTTTAAAGAAAGGATAGTCAAATATTAATAAAAGTGATAAGATACACAAAAAGAGATCTGAAAGGATACACTCTAAACTATGGAATAAGAATAGAGGAAAAGGGTTGTTGATTTTATAAATACACACACAAGCATACACACACAAATATATATGAATACATACACACATACTATAAACGTGTTAATTTTGTAGTTTTCAAAAAGTGTATGGGGCAGAGGGGTTAAGGTGAGATGGAGGGGGTAAAGAATTGCCAGAAGAAATTAATTAAACAATGATTGTGGGTGGTTCCCACATTGCTCTCAGATTTTTTGATGTTATGCAGAAAAAATAAATTAGCATATAAATTATGTAAGAATTATTAAACCAAAATTAATTGATATAATGATTTTTATGCCTATGGAGAATACATATTTTCTTCAAACAGCAGTGAATCATTTATAAAAACAATTATATCTGAAGCCATGAATAAAATCTCATTAACTTAAGAAAAGCAAAAATTATCATTCAGGTCACATTCTCGATACACAATGCAATAAATCTAAAAATTGGTAACAAAAGGATGAACCAAACAAATCAATGAAAAGCAAAGCATTTGAAAAACAATGGTAAGCACTATTTTTTTTTTTTAATATATCTTTATTGATTTCAGAGAGAGGAAAGGAGAGGGAGAGAGAGAGATAGAAACATCAATGATGAAAAAGTCATTGATCGAGCCTGCAACCCGGGCATGTGCCCTGACCGGGAATCGAACCCCAATCGCCTGGATCCTAGGTCAACGCTCAACCGCTGAGCCATGCCTGGCTGGGCAGCACTATATATATATATTTTTTTAAGACAAAAAAAAAAACCTGGATCAAAGAGGAAGTAAAAACTGCAATTGCAGTTTATTGAGAAAAAACAAGATAGCTACAACACTGTCTTTCAAAACTAATGAAATGTGGTCAAAACTGCTACTTAGAAGAAAATGTATAGCTCTGGAGCTTTTATTATGAAGTCAGAAATAATTAAAATAGACTATGCATTCATTTCAAGAAGCTAGAGGAAAACAACAAAATAAATCTAAATAAAATATAAAGAGG